ACTACCGTTCGCGCTCTTTTACGAAACTTCTTCGTTCAAATTTATTTCCCTGTCAATGTTCCCATCTTCATTAAAAGGTGTAAGATGACAAAAACAAGATCTTGAAGAATTTCTCAAAAATGTGCCTTGGTTATGGTAGGTAATTCGAAGAAAAATAAAATGTTACTGTTTCTTATTTGTAGAAGTTTTAAGAGGAAAGACCACAACATAATGAACTAATTCATCATAATACCTGAAAACTCTGACTTCACGTTTTTTTGAAAAATGAAATGGTCTTTCCTTTTACTCCCAATCAACAATCAAATATCTTTTCTTGAATTATGAATAACACGAATGGATTGAAATATTTAATTGAATTATTTCAAAATAAACTTTCATTTCGGAGCAATATTGAAATGAGCTTGAATTCTTCATAACCTCTGAATAGTGGGTGACCCAACGGGTCACGGGTGGTCTAGTATTTACTAAAAGTATATTACTATGTTAAAGAATCTTTTTAAAATGTACTTGTTTTATCAGAAGCGAGTTTAACAAACACTCAACTCCTAATCCTAATCAAACATTCAACTCCTAACCCTAATCAAACACTCGACTCCTAACCCTAATCAAACACTAGACTCCTAACCCTAATCAAACACTCGACTCCTAACCCTAATCAAACACTAGACTCCTAACCCTAATCAAACATTCGACTCCTAACCCTAATCAAACATTCGACTCCTAACCCTAATCAAACATTGGACTCCTAACCCTAATCAAACACTCAACTCCTAACCCTAATCAAACACTCAACTCCTAACCCTAATCAAACACTCAACTCCTAACCCTAATCAAACACTCGACTCCTAACCCTAATCAAACACTCAACTCCTAACCCTAATCAAACACTCAACTCCTAACCCTAATCAAACACTCAACTCCTAACCCTAATCAAACACTCAACTCCTAATCTGATCTTCCGTAAAGGCTACCTAGTTTGGATCATGTCTAATAGGTGGAATATTCCCAGTGCTTTTTGATGCTATGACCATAGACGTTTTCCGTTATGACTTGATAGATAATGAAAAGGACATACAATGGACATTTTTTTTTTTTAGGTTACAATATTATAATAAATATATTGGTTATAGTTTATATATATACATGTATAAACTACAACCAATATATATGTACACACACACACATAACCTCTCTTATTTCAGAAATTGTATTCCAAAAGTCTCCCGGTTACTCAGCGTTAAGTTTACAGACTTACAAGGCTAAAATCAGTGGTTCTACTACCGGCGATGGGAAGAGTGTAGATTGCCCATTGTACTGCTTTGCAGTAAGAAAACAACAACAGCCACTCCTAAAAGAAAAAATTCAAATAAATCAACTAAGTTTTCGAAATAAAACTTATGTACTTGCGTATGTATTCCCAGAATGTGTCACAAGTAATTTGTACCAGAAACTTTTGTTACCGAAACTCTTTCCCTGAGAATATGGTTTTAAAATAAGAGCATAAGGCATATTGGAAATCCTTTTAACTAAACTTATTTCAACTATCATAACAATATAAGCTTCTACGTTTTGTTATTTTTATATTCTGACACTAAAAACCTCCCATTTCATTCGTCAATCTTATATTACCTTTTTTAAAAGTTTGATCTTCCTGTTCCCCCAAAAGCGCCCTCTATAATTTATTTCTTCCACAAAAAAACCTCCCTTTTCACTCGCCAACATAATACTATCTTTTGTAAATGTTAGATCTTCCTGTTCCCACAAAAAGCGCCCTCTATAATTTATTTCTTCCACAAAAAAACCTCCCTTTTCACTCGCCAACATAATACTATCTTTTGTAAATGTTAGATATTTCTGTTCCTCAAAAAAGCGCCCTCTCTATTTTAATTCTACCACAAAAACTCCCCTTTTACTCGTCAATCTTATATCACCTTTTTTAAAGTTAGATCTTCCTGTTCCCCCAAAAAGCGCCCTCTCTATTTTAATTCCACCACAACTTTTTATTCATGTGAATTCCTATAAAAATAAAATCCCTCTCTACACAATATATCTTCTCCTATAATTTTCACGGTGTTCTTCCTGTGACTGTTTTAACAACACGGACTTCAGTACTGTGTTCTTCCTGAGACTGTTTTAACAACACGGACTTCAGTACTGTGTTCTTCCTGTGACTGTTTTAACAACACGGACTTCAGTACTGTGTTTTTCCTGTGACTGTTTTAACATCACAGGCTTCAGTACTGTGTTCTTCCTGTGACTGTTTTAACAACACGGACTTCAGTACTGTGTTCTTCCCGTGACTGTTTTAACAACACGGGCTTCAGTACTGTGTTCTTCGTGCCTTTTTATAAAAATCAGCATCCATATCTCGTTCCATCAACGTTTATTTAATCTTTCTTATTTCACGATAAAATAACTTCATTCTGTACTCAGCTCTCTAGAAAAACTTCACTTTTCTCTTTCATTTTATTGTTCTTGCATCTACTGAAATCACTCCCAATTTTGATATTATTATATCTCCAAAACCATCCCGCTTCAACTTGTTTTCTTGCCTTCGCCATAAAAGACCAATCTTTCGTCTTTGTTTGCTATAAAAAAACAAAAACAAACTTAAACCTAGTTTACCATTTTGTCGTGTCAAGATAATACACTCTTTCCTCCAATAGAAACAGTTTTTGTTCATTTCATTTTAGCCATAAATGAAAAATTCTAAAAACAATAAACAGATGATTTTACCATGTAAAAACTGAAGGCATTCATTTACTTCTATAATTATTTCAGGCATTTTAGGGTTCGCAAGCACAAAGCTATACAATTGTGCTCTGTCCACAACAGGTATCAAAACCCGATTTTCAGAGTTATCAGCCCTCGGACTTTCTACTGGGTAATTGGGTGGAAGTTTTTTTTTTTCAGTCACGTGAATGTAGCATGACTTGAAATGGTTAATTAACGTTGTTAATAGCTTGTTTTCTCTTCCTAATAGTTAAGACTTTTTATCTATTATGTATACCAATTATTATAACTAAATATTGTTCAAGATGTAAAGATTTCTTAATATATAAAGATATATTTATACTTTTCAAAGATTAAGTGAGATGAAATGCTTGTGAAGAGAGTCCTATATCTTATGTTGCTGTCTTCTTAGCTTCAGTGCTGTGGTGCTACCTCGATGTTGGATTACAGAAATAAGGGATGGACAATTCCTCAGTCTTGTAGCGACGAACGATCCAACAACGTCTTTATTAGGGTAAGAACACCCAACAATTAACACCCATTTATTGTAAACCTTAAACAAAAAAAATCAAACTTATACTCGGAGAATGTCGGCCTACTCATGAGAGAAAATAACTTTAAAAATTATTTTCGTTCAAAGATGAATATTATATTGTTATATTATATTATTATATCATAATATTAAAACGAGGTGAAAAAAATACGACTGGTATAAAAACCTGTGAACTTTCGAGGTACTTACTATTCAGGCCCGGCATGGCCAGGTGGTTAGGGAGCTCGACTCGCAATCTGTGGGTCGTGGGTTCGAATCCCCGTCACACCAAACATGCTTTCCCTTTTAGCCGTGGGGGCCTTACAATGTGATAGTCAATCCCACTATTCGTTGGTAAAAGAGTAGCCCAAAAGTTGGCGGTGGGTGGTGATGACTAGCTACCTTCCAGTGGTCGACGTATCGCAGATAGCCTATTACGTAGCTTTGCGATAAACGAAGTTTATATCAGGATAACGTGTCATATATATGTTTTGATTAGGTGCTTTTTGTTTGTTGTTGTTAAATACAATGTTACAAAGCTGTGGTCTGCCCACCGCGAGTATCGAAACCCAAGTTTTGGTATTGTAAGCTGTGAGACTTTCCCTCTGAGCTAGCGGGGACTGATTATAAGCAATTAACCTCTATGTCTATATTAATGAATTTTTATAATTTTATGAGGAGTACTGTATGATGAAAAATTATATATCGTATGTAGTCATTTGAGTTAATATATATATTTATCGTCTTTGGTTTCTTAGTTTAATGTATATTTCTTGTTTATTTTCCTATTTATGTTGTCGTGTTTCAATTTATGAATATGTTTTTGTTGTCTGAGAAGTTTCTTGTTCATGTTCCCACATTATGTGTGATATTATGGTAAAAAAATTGAAAGTTTATAAAGGTAAAATTCGGGACTCGATCCCTACGGTGGGCACAGCTCAGATAGCCCACTGTGAAGCTTTGCGCTCGACAACAATTAAATTTTGGAAAGTACTTTTGTAGCATTTTAGAGACAATACAAAGAACATATTTGATTGGCTAGTTCTATATTGTTAGACCAACAAGCAAGCATGACGTCACTTATTTTTTATTCGCCTTCACAGTTCTATATTTTTTTTTTGTTTTTTTATTTTAAAGGGTTGTGGAGAAAAGCTTCGTCATTACCTAGCGTCTAAAGGTGGTATTATTGGAGGTCTGGCAATAGGCCTAGTTTTAATTCAGGTATTTTTATTTGTAAATTTTAAAATGATCAAATAAGAATATGTTAATAAATAAAAATAATCTAATAAATTTTAGTTTATATCTGCTAAATATATTATTTAATTTATTATATTTTTTAAATTATCATCTGCCTTTAAGTTGTAACGGTCAAAAATGAACACGCCGCTACAATCATGGTTCAACAACAAAAAACACAATTTATTTACAATAACAACACTTAGAAATAAATTCAAAACAGTTAATAAACAAATATCTGGTCAGGACT